GATTGCACGGATTTTGGCGAGTAATACGACTTATAGTAAACCCATTGCTGGATAAGTTATTTATGGTAACCGATACTTTGTTGTCATTTTATTTAAAAAATAATCCGTTTTATTATGCATAAATTCCATGTTTTCAATATTATTTATGGCTTCTAAATATTAAAAATCAATTTAATTTTGCATTTTTATTTGAAATAAAAATTTTATTTTTTATGATATTTTATGCAAGTTTATGTTGTGGATGATGTAATCAATGACGTCACCTAACTTTAAAAGTAATTAGTTTTAACATCTATGAATTTAACCGCCAGATTCTTAAAATGTATTGCAAAATATCTAAACTTAGTACGATGGTTTATAATTTACAAAATCTTGATGATAAAAAAAGTTTCTAAATAAGTATGTCTATTTAAACGCTCACTTCCGGTCCAGAATATTGAAACTTCCGGTTTATTCTGTTACAGAAAAATGCTTATAACTTCAGTTCTAATTAACATATCAACAAGCAAAAACTTGTATTTGATAGCTAAAGATGTATTCTTTAAGATAATGTAATAAAGTAAAAATCGAAATTTTGACCGAAAATCGTCTTTTGTACGAGGTCGGATACCTTAATTTTGCATTTTTATTTGAAATAAAAATTTTATTGTTTATGATATTTTATGCAATTTTATGTTGTGGATGATGTAATCAATGACGTCACCTAACTTTAAAAGTAATTAGTTTTAACATGTATAAATTTAATCTAACGTTTAAACATTATTTATAACAATTTAATTTTGCATTTTTTAAAAAAAATGATTTTATTATGTATGATTTATTTAAATAATTTTAATTCTAGGCGTGATGTAATCAGCTCTCTGATTGGTTATAGAATATTTGTGCATTAACGAGCTGTAATCAGCTCCCTGATTGGTTACTGAAAATTTGTGCAATACCGCGCCATTTTAAAATTTAATTCATATCTTCGAATTCCTTTAAAGATGAATGTTGTTATTGGTAAGTACCAAGAATTATTGATATCGGAATCAAAAAGTTGTCCTTTGTACTTTAGGGAGGGGCGGTTAAAGGATCTTCTAAATCTTAAAAACAATACCTATTATTGTAGTTTTTTTTTTAGTTTTTTTATTTTTAATTTTCACGATCCATTAATTTGGCTCTAAATTGCTTTATCTATTTATAAACTTTTTTTTTTTAATTTTATTCCTGCCCTTGCTATTACATTTTTCAAATTTTTTTCATTGATATCTAAGTTATGATTCCGATTTTTTTTTTGGTACTTATCAGTAAACAACAGGTTAAATGACTCAAAAAATGTAAGTACATATTTTTCTGTTATTTTATAATTGTATACTTCAATTTTTGTTAACAAAATTAATGCACTATTTTCAAAAATTGCTGAGATAATTATTGTCACATAGTATGTTTTAATGTTAATTATATTCTATATAGCGTATTTTAAAGTATTTGAATTTAATAATATTCTAATTCTTTTAAATGTTGATATGATGGATTTTAATTCGGTATTCAATTTCAGTAATATTTAAATCTAATTAAACGTTGTCACAATGTTTTTATAGCGGTGTTTTTATTCTCTTCTTTGCTATATGAAAGTAATAATTACCTTACTTTAGTATTTTATACTCATAGTAAATGTATTTATTTACACTTGCCTGCCATCTTAGAAAACGACATTTTCAACAAAAAATTAATCCATTACTTTTAATATATATATATATATATATTAAAAGTAATGGATTAATTTTTCGAAGTATTCGAACTTTAATATAGTATATATATATATATATATATACTATATTAAAGTTTCGAATACTTTACTATGCGTAAATACAACGTTTTTCAAGATGGCTGACGATTGTAAAAATCGCGCCAGCGTAAGTCGCCAAAATTCCGTGCAACCATCTACCAAAGTAGTACTTCAAATATGCTATACTTGCATTAATTTGCAAATGCTATTTATTGATAGCATAGCTTATAAATATTAAGGTGAATAGAAAATTTTGGAATATTTGAATAAACGGCAGAAATATATCATGCTAACTTAAATCTAACGTTTCAAGGCACGTAATTAATGATATAGCTTTTATATCATAGTTAACTTAATGTTTATCTTAATGGTTTGTCTTTCCATCTGTGGTTTAGACACTTAAAAACGGGGCAGCCAAAACCAGAAACTAGAAAACTTTTGCTATAGGAGTTGTGCCAAAATAGGGAAAAAACATTTATCATACATAAAGAGGGAGGGGGAGAAACGTTTGTCGGATCCGAGTATCGCAGCCAGAGTTAATTTCCAAAAGCAGAAGTGTCAAAACCCTATGGAACCGCGTCAGGAAAGACAAACAGAAATAAATAGGAGTAGTAGGAAACGGACAGTTCAGGGGCAGGAGGCGGTGCGCGGTGCAAATTCAGAGGCGGTGCAAGCGGAGGCGCGAACCACGTGGTTTTCGTCCGCCATTTTGGAGCACGTGGTCTTTCATCCTCCATCTTGAATGACTCCCTCCATGCTTTAGTCGCCGCCATGTTGGATTATTTTTTAATCTAATTACTTATTAAATTAATTTTGAATCATCTTCGAGTAGCCGCTATTTTGAATCACGTGGTTTTATTTTTTTGCTGGAGAACGCAGATTCAAAATTTGCCAGCCAGGCCCGAACCCACAATGTCGGGATCGGCAGCCACGCGCTGTAACCACTGAGCCACGGTTTACTTAGCGACGAAGTATAAAAATGGGTACTTGTTCTTCTATTCATAATACCAGATTTACTTTCCGTAAGCTTAATTACATTACTCATTTTTAGTATTAAATTTATTCTACCCAGAATTCTTTTAATCAATACTTTTAACTTATCTGTTATATTTTACAAGTGTAATTACTAAAACACGCGTTTTTTATGTGTTATTTTATTCAATGTTAGATGCAATTTGTAACTTTTTTTGCTCTTTTAAAGTTAGCGATCTTCAACATACTCTGTATTTTAACTTACTTCATGCATTTAGATCATATAGATGACCTTTACTTTATTTTAGATGTTACATTTTTAACTTGTTTTATACACTTTAACCTTCATAATATTCAATGTACTCTAATTTTTAACCAATTTATATTTTCACCCTACATACATGAATGTTTATTGGAATTGTCTTTCATACGTTTTAACCTTCATAATTTCCAATATAGTCTTAATTTTAACACAATTCCTATACTTTCAGATCATATACCTGACTTTTATTTAATTTTAGATGTAACGCATTTATATAGTTAGTTTTCCACGTTTTTTTTTTTTAGTTTCCAACATACTCTGAATGGTAACTAATTTTCTATATTTATCACTACTATGGACATGACCTTTCAGTTAATTTTTAACTAATTTCATACGTTTTAACCTTCGTAATTTCAAACAGGCTCTTAATTTTAGCTTAATTCCTCTATTTTCTGACCATATATATAAGCTTTATTTAATTTTAGATGTTATTTTTAACTTGTTTCGTACATTTTGAACCTTCATAATTTTTAAAGTACTGTAATTTTAAACTTGTTTCATACATTTTAACCTTCGCAATTTTCTGTATACTCCGAGTTTTAACTTAATTCCTATATTTTCTGATCATATACATGAACTTTATTTAATTTAAGAAGCAATTTTTAACTTGTTTCGTACATTTTAACCTTCGTAATTTTCAACGCAAGTTTTAATTTATTTTCACGTTATTTGCATGAATTGTATTTTTACTTTTAGATGCAATTTTCTAACATTTTTAGCATTTTTGTTTTCCTTATACCCTTAATTTTAATGTATTTATCATATTTTCTGTTTATAATACATATTTATTTTACTTATTTTACCATTTCAACTAAATTTAAGCGTTTAAACGTCTTAAATATAGACATAATTTACAATTAAACATTTTATTTTATAACAGTTAACTACTATTCACATCTAATTCGTTGAATAACCCTTGCTTAGTATATATTTTATAGTACTATTTTAAACTGCCACAATTTATCCTTCTGTAGTAGTTTTACCATGAATAATGCTGCTATTTTATTTCATTATTAACTTCATTTGAATTTTCAGATTTTAACATTTCCTGCGTATTCTGGTAGTTCCTTATATTTTTAATACCTTTTATATTTGAACGCATGTTTTTAAACTCTTTAATGTAACCATTGTTTAGTTTTGAGTTCCAATTATCTTTAAGCTAACTTGATAGCTACCGAATTTTTTCAATGAAGTGCCAAATTTCATGTCCTCATCCAGAAGTCTTTCCCAATATTTTTAACATGTAATACCTTTTAGTTCAATATATTTTGCCAACTGCATGCACTCATGCCCTTATTTTTTAAATTTTGGGTGCCTTGAATATACTATTTTTTTTTCTTACTACCCTTTCCTACGCTAGACAATTAACAATATTTCTACCTTCATAGGAAACTCTCTGAGAAAAAAGCCCTTATTTATATTTTATATATAATGAAATAACTAAACATTAACGCTTTTAGGATTAGTCTTTTACTATGGAAAACTTACTAAATATTGTTAAATTCATAAGTAGATCACATAATATTAATTCAAAATTTTATGAATGATATTTTAGTAATGCTTCAGACTGCATAAAAGTCAGCATTCACTATCTTAATACATGTATCATCAGTTATTTACATTAACCAATGTAATATCATCATTCGATACATGCATATATTTTTGTTTACTTTTTTTATTTTCAAGTTAATGTTCTTATTTTATTATACGTGAATAATTAACTGTTCTAAGAAAATGCTCTGTATCTGACCATATTTATTGTTTATATTTCAAATGTGAAAACATTTAATAACTTTTTCCAGAATCCATCCTGAGCCATTTTCAATAAACTCATCATAGCTCTTTTTTATTTTTTCGAAAGCTTCGGTAATTTCTCTTTCTATATCATACGCTTTAAGTAATTGCAAACAGTTGCTACGGAAATATGGGTAAATGTATTCAGGTTCCCCCATTTTCACACTCACGACTCATTTTAACAGTAACACCTGCATACCATTTCAGACACCGATATGTTGCTATATTATCACTCAATTTTTCTACAAGTTGTGATTTTATGTACTCCAGAAACACATCTAGGTCTTGATCATTCCCTGTATTAGAGAAAATCGACTCAGAAGCGAACATATCCTTGAGACTTGTGATTTTAGCACCCGAACGTACACTGACAGGATCAGCATTTCTTCGTTTTTCTATGGTTCGCGTTAGGCCATGCTCCACTCGAATATGAATAACTGATGTAATATGACAACTCGAATATGATCAATGTTTCACGTGATTTCTCTCGAATTTGATCAATGTGAATAAAACCACATGCTCCACTCAAATATGATTACGTGATTCCACTCGAATATGATGTAAAAGATCGCTTTTTCTTTTAAAATGTCGTGAACATTGAGTACAATTTCTAACATGAGAAGCTTCATGCTGTCTCAAAGCATCATCACTGGTGAAACTCTTTGAGCAACTACTGCATTTAAAAACAACTTCGTGTTTTTTCATATGTCTTCTTAAATCTCTTTGGCTTGTAAAATTTCCGAACATTCAATACAATTTTTAAGATGGGAAGCTTCATGACGTTCCAAATGATCAAGTTCACTAAATTTCTTAGGACATTTACTACATTTGTAGTCTCCTTTCATGAGATTTCATATCGCACAAGTAAAATTTCGAAGATGAATCGTTTCATGAATTCTTAAGTTATCAATGCGAGTGAATCGCTTGGAACACATACTGCATTGGAAAGGTGTTTTTTCATCATGAATTTTCATATGCCTATTTAAATCGCTATGTCGAACGAATGACATTTCACATTCTGCACAATGAAAGGATTTCTCTTCCGAATGGATCTTTAGGTGAAGAGTCAAATTATGCTTTAGACCAAACACTTTATCACAAATAGGACATACCTGAGAGAAAAGAGCAGAAACTCATAATCAGTAAAATAACTTAGTACATATGTACATACACATATCTTATACACAAACACTCCCATAACAAAAATGAAATTTATTAGAATATTCATAATGTGTATGCACTTCTTAGGCTGTAATGGCTGAATTCATCATAAATCTTAAACGTTACCACCATAAAATTTTCATCTTAAGTCATTTTTCACAAATTTAATTTCACTAAGTACATCATGTCCCAATAACATAAACATTATACGTGTAATAAACCTTAAACATATTAAAAATATATTTCATAAAACACAGTAAAACCTACCTTTTTAGGTATAAATGCATCAGTAGTAGTATTATTGGAGATTGAAGAAACTGAAGTATTAGCCATTTTAAACATAAAAATGGAAGCAAGCAACCAGCGCACAATCGTAAAACTAGTTTACAAATTACTGTAATATTGATTTTGGAAGATATGAATTATATATGCTATGACTACGAATCTTGAAATCCCTTAAATCACCAATCAGACAATATGGATCAAAAATCACTAATGTTTAACCAATCGAATGCTTTCCATTTACTAATACATATGGAACATTCTAGAACATTAATTATCACGTGATTTCATCCTTCTGTAATTAGCTCATCAAATCTATTTCGGTAACATCATGTTTTCTGGATGACGCCAATCACCTTAGCAAAATTACTCAATTAAGGTTAAACAAGCAGACTGCTTACTAAGATAATAAGCGGATAATTAGGAAAGGAATAATCTTTCATTTAGAATTAAACATATGCATGTTATTAATTGCTAAGAACTCAAATGAACGTTTAACAAGTTTAACGTTTTTTATAGCTTTGAACACTGTTTCAAAATAGAAAAGCACTCCAAAATATATTTATACAAAATCACATTATCATCATATCAAGATCTGAGCTAAGTTTACAAAATTTCAGTTTATATTCGTTATAAATTTGTTCGAAATGACATCAATCAGACCAAAATTGTACATTGACAGATCAGAGACTGACTAAATGACGATCTCGATAACTGACCAGTGACTCGCTAAAAATTGCACGCTGACTGACCAGTGAGTGACTAAGTGGTGACCTCCTTGACGGACCTGTGACTGACTAAAAAATTGAGCTAGAATTATATTTATTTAATAAAAAAGCGATTAAGTGGGGAGCCAAGGAAGCGGCTTGAATGTGACTAAACTGTGCATTTTAGCCAAACTTAAAGCTCTTAATTAAAGATTAAGAATTTTTTATGTATATTTTTGAAATTAATGGATTTTTTTACAATTTTTATATCATATTCAATTTTAATGCTGTTTTATTTTACTTATTTGTTTATTATATTACTTTTGTGTTTTTCTATTTTCTTATTGTACATTTTATATTTTATATTTAATTCTTTTTAATATTTTACTTCCTTAACATTAATTTTTTATTATTCATTTTATTACTATATTATTATATTTTGAACTTGATTTACTTATTTTTCAATTTTTGATTTTATTTTTCATTACAATTTCATTTATTATTATTGTTTCAAAAAAAATTTCGAACGCGTTATAATGTTTAGACTTTTATTCAAAATTAAATGTAAAATTAACACTTTTGGCTCTCCAATAAAATTTGAATCATTCGTCTTTTCATCTCATTTGTCCTCGCCAACGTCCATGTCTTTTTGCAAAGGTAGACTAAACATTAATTTTCAATACCGTATACCAAAAATTTTGGTCTGTCTACTTGTTGGTTGATTTGCTTGTTTGGACGCAGAAACTCTAATTTTAATTGTAAAAATTGTTTTTAACTGCATTTAATGCTTTAGATTTTTATATATTTTACAGTTTTCAAAGAAGGTGTTTTGAATCTTCATTGATTTTTGCTACGCCGCGAAGTGAGAACTGAACTAATTAAAATATTAATATATATCTAATTAAAATACGAGGACACAGGGGCAAATCAAGTTGAGCAGAAATGTCTATAAATTGATAGTCCTTACAGGGAAGTCGTGTGGTGGTGACATCAGATATTTTGTTGGGCGCGTGTGCCTAAATTACATATACGTTCATGTCAGGTAAGTAGTGACGGAAAGCAATTATTATTATTTATATTAATAAGAATCAAAGGGTTTCAGTAGGAGGAAAAACGATGGGAGAGTGTTTATATCCAATAGAATATTCTGAAAACAATGCACTGATTTTAGAAGAGAGACAAAAGAAAGTTTAATTAAACTCCCACTTCCCTTAACTCTGTGATTGTGACCCAATAAGCAGTAAAGATAATAAAGATTTCCATTCTAAGTCTCATGAATTTTTTCAGACATGTGTATAAGTTTTACTATGATATTCAGCTAACAGCTTTAAGCAGGCGCATAATTTAGGTCTGTTCGTGCACCGAAGATGGCATATAAGTCACTTTATCCCTTCCACTCTCTACTCATAATCTGTTGGACGTGAAAGTGACCATCCCACGAGCGAACTTAAATCCATTCGCTGAATCGCTTAGTAATGTAGGCGTTCTGAACACTCCATGTTGACTCAAATTATTATATCCTATTACTGAGGAATGTAGAGAATTGAAACATTATGTTCTATTCACTCAAATTCCATGTTCAGAATGTTTGTTATGACTGTCGTATGAAATGTCGTCGCCTGGTATGATGTCAGATTGTTGTCTCTTGTGATGGTTTTGTATGGAAGCATATTGTTGAGCTTATCATTTAAAGGCCTTCCTAGGCATGAATACATTACTAATAATAATATAACGTAAGTTAATTTTACGCTAATCAGTTGATTTTATCTTAAATAGGTGCCTACTAAAGAATTAAAAACATTTTAATATATTTTATATTGTGTTTATATTTAAATTCATTTTCACCTAACCAAAAATTTTGGTTTACAATTCTGCGATAAGAAAGGTTTTGGTTTACAATTCGGTGATTGGTCGTCAAGAGGCATCTGGTATTAACGGTTACGTAAGATTGCATGATTAATTTGAATGACGCAATGCAGATAAGTTATTATGATTTTAGAATAGAGAGGAAGAATTAATGTTTATAGTTATATTATAATTCTGATTCATACATTTTTATCTTTTTTTTTTTGTGTTTTGCACTGATAAAACAAGGAAAACATCAAGTATTGAAATATATTTTGAATTAAAAAGTATGTTCCCATAATTTTCGTTATAATAATAATAATCTTTGGTTATATATATATATCAGGATTACTTTTTTTGTATCACAAG